GGTCTCCCTGGAGCCTTCTCCTCTCCAAGCCCAACTCTCTCCTGCTGGGCTCCCAGCAGAGGGGTTCCCCCCTCGGGTCACTTTTGTGGTCTGTGGGCTTGCTCCAACACAAACAAGCCCCTGTGAGACCCCAGGAGATGGGTGGGGTGGGTTGGTCCCCTGCGGGTCTTGCTTGAGCATGCATTGGGACATCCCTGGTGGGCCTGGGGTGAGATGGGGCTGGGCCCCTCTGGGGTGGCTGCTCTGGGCTCTCTGTTTTGCAGCAGTCTGGGCCACAGGCTGGGTTGTAGCAGTGCTGGACTCCGTTTTGCAGTGATGTAAAAGGTTATCCTGTCAGATAACCCTGCTCGGTGAGGACCAACACCTCCTGCAGAAGGTTCAACTATAAAAATCAGTGCTCTTGAAACTTGGGGGTTTTTTTAATTTGGTTGCTGTGTTCTGAAAGGCAGCAGGTTGCTCCTATCCCTCTACCAGCTGCCGTTTGAACACACATCAAAGCCCTGGCGCCATGAAGGGGGTGTTCAAACAGTGATGAAGAGTGGCCCAGGCTGCCCAGGGCAGTGGTGGAGTCTCCACCCCTGGAGGGGTTCCCAAGCCGTGGAGATGTGGGGTGAGGGACACGGGGCAGTGGGGACCTGGCAGTGCTGGGGTCAGGATTGGACTTGTTTTTAAAGGTCTCTTCCAACCAAAACGATTTTATGAAGTGTTCTCTGCCCAAGAGATGTTGCAGCCAGGGGCTGGACCTTCATTTGTGGTGCTGGGTGAGCCGGGGGGGAGCAGTAACCCCCCCAGCACGCTGTGCAGCTCTTCAGATCGCCTGTCCTAAGCAGAAGAAAATCCATTTTGCACACTCAGGTGCAGTTCAGACAGGCAGGGCCAGGGGGGGGTCCTAAGAGGCAGTTCTCCTGCTCTGCTGGCAGTCGATCCCTCCCTTTGCTGCTGCTTATAATCAGCAGCCACAGGAACGTGTCGATACCTTCATGCACCCAGAGCCTCTCTTCCCATCAGGGCTATCACCGCCCAGTTCTCCTTAATGACAAAGGGCTGAAGGTTTCCAGCTCTCTCTGGGGCTGGGAGGAGTATTGATCCCACAGCTTTGCTCAGGGGCAGGTGCTCAGCAGCAGCAGGGAGGGTTTGGGCCAAGGAGGGGTGGCTGCTTGCCAGCAGGGTGCTTGTTTTGGGGAGGGTGAGGCACGGAGGTGCATCTAGCCCAGGATCCCTGCCCGGTGGGGTGGAGCAGGAGGCTGTATGGGGCTCAGCTCTGACACACGTTTACAGGTTGCACGGTTGAGGTGAAGCCAAGGGAAGGGGACTCAGAGCAAGAACTTTTCTGTTTCTAGATGGAAGCTGTTGCCAGATGTTTTGGGCTCTCTCAGGGCTCTGCAGCCTGATCCTCTGGGTGCAACCACCCCTCTGGTCCCCCTTCCCTCCCTCCAACCTTTTTTGTCCTGGAGCCACCCTTATCTCTCTCTAATGGCTCATCCTATTCCTGTCTGGGGAGTCATCCTGATCTCTGTAACATTAGAAAGTGCCGTTATTGCCTTGTTTTTTGGCTCTAGATAAGACTTTAACCCCTTCCTCTCAGGAGCAGAGCCATCCAGCACTGCAGGTTGCTCATATTTCCTACGGATGGGTGCTGTGACATGGCCACTGAGCCTGCCAGACTGAGCTCCTCTGGCTGAGGAACCTCTTGCTCTGAGCACCACAAGGTGCAGGAGGAAAGCTGGCTGATGCCTCGCAGCATATTGCAAAGGGGAGACAGCCGGAGCAGTGCTGCTGGTGCTGAAGGTGTTTTGATTTGCTGAACAGCCCTGTCTAGGCTGTGAAATCTCATCTCTAACAACAGCCAGCTGGTGCCAGGGACACCGACTGCTCACACGCGTGGTGCTCAGCACGATGGGGCTTTTTGATCAGAAGCTGAATGGAGGTCTAGGAGAAGGAGCATGTGGGGTGCTCTGTCTACAAGTGATCCCTGCATAAAGGATGGGTGGTGGACGGATGGATAATTGGTGGGGAGGAGCTGGACAGGAGCCAGCAACGTGGGCTCGCAGCCCAGGAGCCCCCGGCAGCCTGGGCTCACCCCCAGCAGCGTGGGCACAGGGCAGGGAGGGGATCCTGCCCCTCTGCCCCCTCTGGGGAGACCCCCCTGCAGTGCTGGGGCAGCTCTGGAGGCCTCAGCACAGCAGAGCCAGGGAGCTGCTGGAGCGGGGCCAGAGGAGCCCCAGCAATGCCCCGAGGGGGGAACCCCTCTGCTGGGAGTCCAGTAGGAGAGAGTGGGGCTGGGGCAGCTGAGAGGAGAAGGCGCCAGCTGGGGAGACCTGCTGGGGGCTGCCAGGACTCAAAGGGGCCTGTCAGGAAGCTGGGGACAGACTTTAGAGCAGGGGCTGTTGGGACAGGACAAGGGGAGATGGCTTTAAACTCAAAGAGGGAGATTCAGAATAACGAGACGGAAGAGATGTTTGATGCTGAGGGTGCTGAGCCCATGGCCACGGCTGCCC